AATGGCCTGTTTCACTTGCATGGACAGCTTCTTTGAACGCATGATGTAGGTTCACAGCAATAGATTCCAAATGCTTAGAACGAAGGAGTAGCCCACACCTGGCCATGAAACAGCTTTTGATTCAATTGTCCAATTACTTTTGGTCCCTTGAAAAAGTTGGGATGGCTACTCTTAAGAGCTGTAATTCCTAAATCCTTCCAATTTGGATGTACATACCCTCAAATTAAACCTGAGAGTGTGCACTTTCAACCCATAATAATATAATGGATATTATTATTATACAGGATTTATATAGCACCAACAGTTTGCTCAGCACTTTACAATATAACGGGAGACAATACAACAGCAATACAGTTCAATACAAGAGGGTTAGGAGGACCCTGCTCCTTGTATATAACTATAGCTTGAATATGTTTTGGTAAATACCTGAAAAAAACTAAAATTGTGCCTGTGTCCAAATATATATGGTCCTAACTGTAAGTGCCACAATTTCTGATGGTGGGGGGACCATGAGGGTACACTAAAGCTGGCCATACACTAGTAGAATTTAGTTTGAACAGTTTGCTTTAAGAATGTTCATTCAATTTTCTGTTAGTGGGGTCAAATCAACATTCGTTTTTGACTGCAGTGGTGAAAAAAGTCAAAGGAACAGGATGGAATTGTTTTCTCGAACAAATTTCTATCAATGTATGGTGTTTTTATTTGGGAAATTACATCCATTCCAAAGTTGAATGCTAAAAGCAAACAAAATTTTGAAGTACTTTCAATTGAAATTTGTCCAATCATCGAATGTGCAAAGAATTTTTAAACAAATGTTTATACGAATATGTCTGAACGTTCATTTAGTAATCTACTAGTTTATGTCCAGCTTAAGTTTACAAAGACTAGAGCATCTATTCTTAGCTACTCCAAGGTCTACTGCTCTCAGATGTAATGAACAGCTGGCCATACTGGTGTAGCTGGTATACTGGTCATACTAGTAGATTTTCAAATGAACATTCATACCAACATTCATATAGAAATTCTCATCAGTACATTCGGGGTTCTGGTAGATCACAAGCTTAATGAATGGCATGCAATGCCAAGCTGCGGGTTCTAAAGCAAGCAAAAACCTCTCTTGTATTAAAAGAGGTATAGACTCCAGAGAGAGAGATATCATATTACCCCGGTACAAATCATTAGTAAGACCTCATCTGGAATATGCAGTTCAGTTTTGGGCACCAATTCACAAAAAGAACATTGGGGAACTGGAGAAAGTACAGAGAAGGGCAACCAAACTGATAAGAGGCATGGAGGAAATCAGCTATGAGGAAAGATTAGAGGAACTGAATGTATTCTCTCTTGAGAAGAGGAGATTAAGGGGGATATGATCAACATGTATAAATACATCAGTGGTTCACATAGTGAACTCGGTGTAGAGCTATTCACCCTGAGGTCATCACAGAGGACAAGGGGGCACTCTCTACATCTAGAGTAAAAGAAGTTTAATCTCCAAACACAGAAAGGTTTCTTCACAATAAGAGATGTGAAAATGTGGAATAGACTCCCTCAAGAGTTGGTTCTTGCCAGCTCAGTGGATTGCTTCAAAAAAGTCCTGGATTCTTTCTTAGATACACAGAATATAACTGGATACTAACATTTATAGGTAACGTTGATCCAGGGAATATCCAATTGCCTCTCGGGGGATCAGGAAGGATTTTTTTTCCTTGCAGGAGCAAATTGATTCATGCTTTGCTGGGTTTTCCTTCTCTGGATCAACTGTGGGTATAGGATTTTAACTTTTTTTTTTATTGTTGAACTGGATGGACTTTTGTCTTTTTTCAGCCAGACTAACTATATATATATATATATATATATATATATATATATATATATATATATATATAATGTAACTATGAATGTTACTCAAATGCATTGGCTAACTGAATGACAATTGGTTAGTCAGGGCCTGGACTGAGCGAAGTATAAGGGAGGGCCAACATGACTGGGGCGTGCAGACGAGGCAGAGAGTGTAATTTGGGTGGAGTATAGGCAAGGAAAAGGGGATGGGGGGTGGTTACTTACTTGATTGGTGTAGGCAGCATTGTGGGTGGTCTTGCAGGTTTTGAATTGGGGGGTTGTGTCTTGTCGGAGTCAGTCGGAGCTTGTGCCACCACGGAGGTGGTTTCTCCCGCCCTCCCGCCCTGAAGTTGGTTTGTATTCTGTTTGTTGTGTTGGTTATAGTTTTGTCATTGTGTTTGTTCTGGTGTTGTTTTTGTTGTTTGGTGGTTGTTCGTGGTGTTTGTTTTATGTGGGTTCATGGCGTTTGTTCAAGGTTCAGGATAGCTGTTGTGTCCTGAAGTGTTTGTTCGTTTGTCATGGCAGCTGGCAGGGGTCGATGGGTCTTTGAAGGCGGTGGTGGAGTGACAAGTTGAGGAATTATGGGTTGGGCCCATCGTAGGTATGGGTGTCCCTTCCCAATAAAAGGTCATATTGGTAATGTGGGAGTTCATTTGGCTGTATCTGGGTTAAGTAACAGTAGTATTGTCCCCGAGGCGGTGTAGTAGCGGCTGGGGGCCTTTCATTGAGTAGTAGATACAGCCGAGTTGGTGATGGGAGTAATGGTGCCTTCAGAGACCTTGGACCCGGGTGGTAATGTACTAAGATATTATGTTGAGTTATGTTAAATAAATGGCTGCTATGGCCGGTTTTACACCAAAAAGTGAGTTGCGTGTTTATTTGGGGGGAAGGTTTTGAAGGGGTGGTGGTGTTTTAAAGGGGGTAGGTAAGTATTAGCCTCGGGATTCTGCAAGTCCAACAGTCATGCTAAAGCACTGTATATCATAAACAATTGCCATTTTTACTATTGAAATACAGTACTTGTTTTAACCTTTTTTTTCAATCCTTTGTTGCATCTCAATGTTACTGATCTCTGTAGCCTCTTTGCAGCCACCTCCTGTCAACATACACTCCAGTGATGGCTGCAGGGCATTTCTCAGAGCTGGTTTCTGATAGTGTGACACTGCAGTGAGGGATAGTGTGACACTGCAATGAGTGTTGGCACAGACACCTGTAGTCTCCATTTGGAAAGCATGTGACAAGGTAACAATGCAGGAGAACAAATCGGAGACAGAAATAGTGTGCTGTTACCCCATAACAATAACGGGTGTAGTATATACTAAAACAAAATATTGGCAGAGCTACTCATCCTGTGAAACTGCATGTACAGCCATTATGTGCAAATGTGGACAAAGTTGAATGTTATTAGGCTTTTTCTTTTCCAGTCGAATGTTATTTATTCATACAAAAAAAAGTGGTTTGAGAAAATACCACATTATGGTCACTTTTTGGAGCTGGCGATCATAGCAATGAAAATAACTAGCAACATTTGATATTGCTCCCAGCTGCTCAGAACGAACGTACATGCAGTTTCACAGAATAAATAACTCTGCAAATTTTTTATAAATAAACTCCTTAGTATTTCATAGCAGGGTCACCAGGCATTGTTTTAATGAAAGCAGATTTAGTCATATTGAAAATTAATTTTTAAAATTGCACAGACATGTTATTTTATGATTATGAGATTCTATTGATTGGGTTATAGATCCTTTAAAATTTAGGGTTTGTGTGTGTGGGGAGGTGAAAGGTTAAAGTCTATTTAAAGACATTTTTTATAGGGCGGTGAGGGGTTAGATCCCTGTCAGGTCTTTCTTGCTGTCTGTGTCCCAGTTGGAAATATTTACTTTTTTTATTTTGACCATTGATCACTGGGCTTGAAACTTAGGCAAAATTGCATATTTTGAGTTGTCACTTTAAAATTGCAATAGAAGAAAAATCTTTCACTGGGGACACCTGTTCAGGAGCTTTTTTCCTTTGACACCACAACTCTTTTTTCAAACAGTACTAGCCCCATTTCCCATTCTTCCAAAGATAAATGCAACACATTTAGAACCACAAGAGTGAGAGTTACAAGATGGATGTTGGCACAGCAGGGTTCACTATAATGCTCTTACTATGATCACTTAGGACATTTATAATTAAAGGGACTGAGCTGGGTGTCCTTTGTGGTTCTGAGATGTCATCTGACCAGAGGACATGAGCTACCATGGAAGCTGTTGCTAGAAGATGTGGCAATGTGTCATGATAAACTATATACTTTGGAATCACAACCATGTCCATGGCCCCCACTTAATAAGGAAGCCTGGCAAACTGTGCAATATACAATTTATTCAGCACACAAAAATCCATTGGTTGGTTGTGTTTGTCCTCAGGCCAAAGGTTCCTAATCTTCCCCTGGAAGTGTCCAGCTTCTAAAGCAGACCTTCTCAGTCAGGGATTCATGGAACCCTGAGGATCCTCCAAACGTTGTAGGGGTTCTTTGAGCAGGAAGCAATTTCTGTCTCTCAGATAAGAAACCACTGACATCAGACCACAAATGTTAGGAACATGGCAAACTTTGCCTGGTACAATTTTTTTTTTTCGGCACACAAAAGGCCATACCTATCTTGAAAGAGCTAGTTGATTGTCAGATTGTCAGTCAGGCCAAAGGTTCTCAGTCCTTTCCTGGAAGTGCCCAGCTTCAAGAGTAGCCATTCTCAATTAGGCTTTCATGGAACCCTAAGGTTTCTCCAGAAGTTGTAATGGTTCCTTGAGCAAAAAGAAACCTTTGCCTCTCAGATAAGTAACCACTTACAGCAGACCACAAATGTAAGGATCATTGGTCTGTTGACCATGCCACTAATGTACCATCAATTGTAGATATAGTATTTATAATAGGCAGAGCTTCCCTGAGACCAAAACATTACTTCAAAGGATCCTCCATGTTAAAAAGTTTGAGGAAGGCTGTTCTAGAGTAATTAAATCAGATAGGAGTTGTTAATAGGTAACCTTTAGAAGTTCTCCACATCTCTGAGAACAGAAACTACACATCCCTATGTATTGCCTTTTTTTACACTATGCTTTAATTCGACCCATCTTATTTTTTATTCCAAAGATTCCTATACATAACACCACTTAGTCACCTGAAACCATGGTGCTCCTTGGAGTTGCGGATTTTAGCAGAGAAGCGGTCGCTCAGTTTCTCCAAGCTTCGGGAATACTCCAAATTAATCTCAGCTTTCCTGCGCAATAACTCGCTCATGTCCTGGAGCAACTGCTGGCGGAAATCCACCTGTGCGTCCAAACATTTCACTTGTTCGGTCAGCTGGACACGAATCTCTAGAGAGAAGCAGAGGGAACACAGTCAGTTAGTGATCTGAATCAAGTCTTGAATTTTAAACTACTACCTTTTATATTGAACTAAAACTTTTGCAACACGCAAAGATATATTCCAGTAGAAAAATGCTTTTACTTTGTTCCTTCCTCAAAACACAGTTAGTACAAAACATGTTTCCTTTAATAGAAAAGATAATTAACACTTTACAAAATTAAAAAAAAAAAGTTTTGCCTTTAGTTACTCTTTAATAAAAATCCTGCCTTTTTTAACTAAATTTTTTATAAAATTTTATATATATATATATATATATATATATATATATACAGAGAGAGAGAGAGAGAGAGAGAGAGGGGGGGGGAGAGAGAGAGGGGGAGAGAGAGAGGGAGGGAGGAGAGAGAGAGAGTGTTTTTTTTCTTTTTTTTTTCAATTTTTTTGTTAATATTTTTTAATACTGTGATTGCATCTGACAATTACAATATTAAATCAATTACATTATTAAATCATGCACTGCAGATGGTGGTTTTTAATCTGCAGGCTGGCTGAAGGCTTTCGTTTTTCTTAGTGAAGCATCCAGCCTGTATGTGACCACTATCTAACATAGTGATCACATGATCCAGGACCACTCTTACTAGCACCCGACTGTCGATGGGGAACCAAGCTGTCAGTGATAGCTGAGACTGAGAGGCAAAGTGTTGGCTGCTGCTCCTCAAAAGGGGGATAAATGTATCCCCATCATTGGAGATTGTGATGGGCAATTTTTATATACAGACTGCAGGTGCTTATGGACGTAATGAAAATTTACTACAGGGTAAGTCCACCTAAAAACCGATATTTCAGTTTTTGGTGGATGCTAGAGACTTAAACCACCACTTTCTTTTATTTCTTAGGGGTTCTATGAGTGAAATATTTGTGCTCCGGTTTAAAGACCTTCACTCAATTATAAGTGAGTGCCACTCTCCCTGTTGGATTTCCGTATTTTCTATATAATAAAAAATCAATCTGAGAGTACTGAAACATGAAAGGTGGGTGGGAACGTGCAAAATTCCCAGATAACCAGGAAGGGAGTCAGCAATTAAGTCTGGAAGTTCTCATTGCTGAGGTTTCCAAGGTATACATCTAGCCAGGGACTGACTCAACCCACCAAACTCCACCTATTATTTTATAACTATACTATATTATATACTCTCTAGCTCCCTGGTCTCCTCCTCCCATGCAGGACTTCTCTAGGGCTTCCCCCATCCTCTGGAACTCCCTACCCCAATCCATCAGACTATCACCTACTCTGCTCACCTTTAGGCGCACTCTGAAAACCTATCTCTTCAGGGAAGCCTACCCCGCCCTCAGCTAATTACTGAACTCCTCCACTCTTCCTACCACTCCACCCCCCACAGCTATTTCCTCCTGTACCACTATCCCCTCCCTCCTAGATTGTAAACTCCAAGGAGCAGGGCCCTCGAACCCCTCGTGTCTTGAATCGTATTGTTACTGTACTGCCTCGTGAACTGTCTCCCACCATAATGTAAAGCGCTGAGCAAACTGTCGGCGCTATATAAATCCTGTATAATAATAATAATAATTTTTTATATATATATATATATATATATTATTAGAACTATAGAACTATTATTATATATATATTTTATATTAGATTTTATTTGTATTTATGTATTATTTATTTAATATATACGGTATATATTGTTATTTATTTTCTAACTGTAATATATTATAACTTTTGGGTGAACTAGCCCTTCGAAGAGAACACATAACCTAACTAACTTTAAGCCACTGCAAAGCGTGACACTACTTTGGCATTGCTATGACATATTTATATCGTTAATGTATCATATGCCCTTGATCATATTTCACATACAAATTCCTCGCCTGCTAGTCAGCGAATGCAGTCATAATCCATAAACTGAACTCCAGGCACAAAAACTTTCATTTAAATACATTCCTCAACATCCACAAAGAATACAAATCTACTTTCTGTGCACCAAATACCTTTACAAACTAAGATATTACCTTGTAAAAGTATCAGTGACATCACCACCATGCTGTACATAGCCTATGTAGAGAACAAAGTGGTGGGAGGGGCCTCACAGACCAACCTATTATATAAAACTACAGGAGGGGGTGCAGAAAAGCCAAGTCACCCTGCACAAGTAGAGGGAGTGGCAGTGAGCAATCTTTATTACAGGAAGTTCCTACACTGAGAAAAATTTAACACTGGATTACAGCATAGATCTGGAAGAAATTTACATAGCACACCAAGATTCAAGTAAAAATACACAGGGCTCCTGTATTTAGACAAAACATGCCTATCCTGGAGTTCAGGTTTAAGAAATGGTTCTAAGAATATTAGTTTATGTATAAACACCGTCTACCATGCATTGATTATAGTGAAAAATCTGTTCTTCTGACACTAATTTTCACAGATGGTGATGGGAAGATCAATAAAGCTCAACCACCGTGCTGAACTACGGAGTAAGATAGTAAATATGGTTGCAATTTAGGATATGAATCTTATAAACAGTAATAGAGGATCTATCACATACATGTTAAAATCAAAACATACAAAAGGTCAATTAGACAGTAGATTTTTGTTGGTTTTTCCTGAAATGGGCAATGCAAACTTATGTGAAGAAAAAAATAATGAGCAGAGATTACCTTCAGTGAAAAGGACATTCCATAACAACCAACAGATCAGATAGATAAAGAAATCTGAATATGCAGATCTCGACTTTAAAACTTGACTTTGGCCATGATCTTCATGTTTGCCGAGACATCTTATTGGTCATTAAGGCCTTCTATCATGTTAGTGGGTCCATTGAAAGCTTGTAAGATGAGAAGATAGGTTTTCACTGATGGTCACCTCTGCTTATGCATTTTATAATCAATCAGAGAGGTGGAGAGTCTGTGGTGTTAAGTGCTCAATGTGAAAAAAAGAACTTGGCTACAACATCACAGCTTTTTGCTGCTCAACACCTCATAGGATAGGCCTTTTGGCTGAAACCAGGGCAATTTTTACTACCAGGCCACAAGGTTTAACCACTATTTTGCACATTGGCACTTTTATTTCTTTTTTTTTTTTCTCACTTTGTATGTCATTGCACTTGTTTTTGTGTCACCTTTCACTCCTTTTTACATGATTGTAGGGTGTGGGTCTTCAGGTCTACCCTGAAAGTCTAGGAGGAGATTGTGTGGCCATCAGGTTCCTTCTTCCCCTACCTTGGAAGGTCTCTCTTTGAGAAAGCCCCCTACCCAGTACTCATTGGCTGGTTTAAGCTTATCATTAGGAGTGCGATCCACCGTGCTTTTTGGCTAGATGGCCCTAAATGAGACTTGCCCCTCTCATGAATCTAATGCCCCAGGAGAAGGGAAGGGACCATGACACACCTTAGTGCACTTTAGTGTGTGTGTACACTTTTTTGGTTCATTTTGGTGTATTGTTTTTGCACACCACACCAGAGACCTGAAAAAAAAAAATTTACTCAATCAGAATTGCTTTGGCTTGTGCAAGATTTACTTTAGTTTTGACCCAAGACTGGACATACACTATTGTGAAGTTCAGCCAGTGACTGATGAACAGGCAGAAATTCATTACGTGGGTGGCCCTGATGGTCCTCTTCTGCCCAACATCCTTCAATTAAAAAAATGAAAGAAGCTGGTCGACAATTTTTTTGGATGAACATCAGCTATGGGTATTCTGACAGCCAAATGTGCAGTCCATCCGAATACAATAGGAATACAGCAAGAACTGTATAGCTGAAAATCTAACATTGTATGGCCAACTTAAGACAAACTTTTATCCTAACTTAAAGAACCAGTTTGATTTATCATCTGCGTGAAATATATTGACCATGTCTAAGTAGCACTAATCTGAGCAAATAAAAGCTATCCAGTCTGTTATGACTTCAACACATTGGTCCCAAATTATCAAAGTCCCTATGCAGCAACAGTGGGAACAATACCCCTCTGTTCTGGAGAGAATCAAGCCCTTCTCAATGTACTATTATGTCAGTGTTCATGGTGTTTTGATCCAATACCTCCCTTCTACAAGGTCACAAACAGCAGAAAGAAAGTGTAAATAGTGTAGATTGGGTGGTGGGTGGCAGGTCAATCTAGGGAGCTGCACATGCCGCAGAACAGTCCCATCTGAAGGAAATGTGTCATGATATGTGGGCTGGCATTCCTAAACTCCTTCTAAAAATGTTGGTTGCCTGGCTGTTATGGCCAATGACCCAACACAAGTATACAGCAAGTGAAGTCAGGAAGTTATACTTGTTCTGATTTAGTGACTCTGAAAATATTGAAGCCAGAAGATCAGCAGGAAACCACCATTTTCACAAGGTGATTAGAAGAGGCATGCCAACTAGAGTATTTCTGTCATGATGGTTCTCCTTTAATTCTGATTACAGTGGATGGTAAAGACAAACTACAGTAACTGATGTTCAGATTAAAGCTATTTCCCAGGCATTAAAAAAATTGAAGTAGCCCAAACGTTTTTGGGGGCATTACATCATGCAGAGCCATTGGGTGTAATTCATCAGGCAATTCTGCCCTCCATAGTGGCAGTATTTTCTGTTTGAAAGACCTGAGCACAGCTAGGTTGTGCACCAAGAATGAGAACTTCGTAGATGGTGTCACCTGTACTTTAAAAAAGGGTTTTTATGAATTGAAGAGATGTGAGTTAAGATAAAAAACAGCTGTGAATGTAGAGTGGTGCGGGTGTCTTTTCAGAAAAATGCAGACTCGAAGATGGGTTGTTGGCCAAGACTGGAAAGAACAATTAAGAGACAGGGTCAGACCATTGGCACCCTATTATAGGAGGTGCCTGGTTGTTCAGGCACCTCCTATTATAGGGTGACAACACTCTGACCCCGTCTCTCAGATGTTCTCCTGTGTTGTCACTTTCACATGGACCTTCATGAGGACCAGTATTGTTCTTGGGGTCCTACCATCCAAAGTTGACTTCTAATAATGTATGGTGGCAGTGTCTGGAGT